GCGTGATACCACCACAGGATGGGTTATGGGGGTGACTACCCACCCACAGGAGGAGTATGGGGTGAACTTAAACACCCACAAGGATGGGTTATGGGGTTACTTACCATCCACAGGATGGGTATGGAGTGACTACTACCCAGACAGGATGGGTATGGAGTAGTAACTTACCCCCACAGGATGGGTGTGGAGTAAGTGACTTACCACCCACAGGATGGAGGGTATGGGGTATCTTACCACCACAGGATGAGTATGGGGTGACTACCACTCTCAGGATGAGTATGGGGGTGACTATCACCCACAGGATGGGTTGGGGTAACTACCCACCCACAGGATGGTGTAGTTATGGACTGACTACCACCCACAGGATGGGTATGCTTTATTTTCCCTATTTTTTTATCCTTCTTAGGGCAATATCACCACAGGATGGAGTATGGCGGTGACTCCACCCACAGGCTGGGTATGGGTTAACTACCACCACAGGATGGGTATGGGGTGAACTACCACCCACAGGGATGGGTATGTGGTAACTACCACTCACAGGATGGGAGTATGGGGGCATAAGTATCTTCTGGTGTACCACCCACAGGATGGTAGGGGGCTGACTACCACCCACTAAGATGGGTATGGGGTGACTACCACACACCTGGTTGGGTATGGGGTGACTACCTTCCCAAGATGGGTTATGGGGTTGGACTACCACCCACAGGATGGGTATGGGGTTTGCTACACCCACAGGATGGGTATGGGGTGACTACCACCCACAGGATGAGTATGGGGTGACTACCACCCACAGGATGGGTATGGGGTGACTACCACCCACAGGATGGTTTGGGGTGTCTACCACCACAGGATGGTGGGTATGGGGTAAACTACCACCCACGGATGGGTTATGAGTGACTACCACCCACAGGATGGGTTACCTGGAGGTTACCTGGAGGTTATTCCGGGGATCAACGCCCCCGCGGCCCGGTCCATGACCAGGCTACCACCCACAGGATGGGTATCAAGTGACTACCACCCACAGGATGGGTATGGAGTGACTACCACCCACAGGATGGGTATTATGGGGTAACTCCACTCACAGGATGAGTATGGGGGTGGACTACCACCACAGGATGAGTATGGGGTGACTACCACCCACAGGATGGGTATGGGGTAACTACCACCCACAGGATGGGTATGGAGTGACTACCACCCACAGGATGGGTATGGGGTAACTATCACCCTCAGGATGAGTATGAGGTGACTACCACCCACAGGATGGGTATGGGGTGACTACCACCCACAAGATGGGTATGGGGTGACTACCACCCACAGGATGGGTATGGAGTGACTACCACCCACAGGATGGGTATGGGGTAACTACCACCCACAGGATGAGTATGGGGTGACTACCACCCACAAGATGGGTTTGGGGTGACTACCACCCACAGGATGGGTATGGGGTGACTACCTACACAGGGATGGGTATTGGGGTGATAAAATACTCACCACAGGTGGGTATGGGGTGACTACACCCACAGGATGGGTAGGGTATGGGGTGACTACCACCACAGGATGAGTATGGGTGACTACCACCCACAGGATGGGTTTGGCGGACTACCACCCACAGGATGTGTATGGGGTGACTTACCACCACAGGTGAGTTTGGGGTGACTACCAGCAACAGGATGGGTAGCGGTAACTACCATCCACAGGGATGGGTATGGATTGACTACTACCCACAGGATGGGTATGGAGTAACTATCACCCTCTGGATGGGTTATGGAAAGTGACTACCACCCACAGGATGGGTGTGGGGTAACTACCACCCACAGGATGAGGTATGGGGTGACTACCACTCAGGATGAGTAATGGGGTGACTATCACCACAGGATGGGTATGTCTGTAACTACCACCACCATGGGATGGGTAGGGACTGACTACCACCCACAGGATGGGTATGGGGTTAACTTCACCCACTGGATGAAGTAGTATGGGGTGACTACCACCCACAGGATGGGTCTATGGGCCCAGTGACTACCAACCACAGGATGGGTATGGGGTGACTACCACCCCAGGATGGGTATGGGGTGAAACTAACTCCCACAGGATGGGCACTATGGGGTGTAGAATAAACACATTAAACTATTAAAACTAACGTTTCTCCAATAAAAATTCCCCATATATTGCATAGTAAGCCTGTCTCAATCTTCAATTGTCGGTTTTAAATCACTTATCACAAGAGTCTTCGTGATCAGCAGTTCCTACAAATTGTGTAGGTACGTTAAAACAGACTTGGCAGCAACGGATCGCAAGTTATGTTGGAGAATGTAAACACCTGCTTACCTTAGCGCGCGATATGTCTCGGGGGAGATAAGTGAAAGAAACGAGGACGGAGAAAATGATTAACAAATCATTGATGATCATGGTTGTAGAGCAGGTTGTCAGTGTCCTGATGTATACTCTTCAGGACGATGTCTCTAAACACTTTATCTCCTTAATATTTTATTACCTTCAATATAATAAATATCATTGTAATATTTTACTAACATTGTTAAATTTGACTAACATTGCTCATTCTTACTAACACTGTTGTATCCTATTAACACTGATTTATTCTGCTAACTTTTTTAAGGTATACTATAATTTACCAATATTTCTACATTATACTTGCTACGATATATTTTTCTTCGTTATATTTTATGCTTGTGAAGAAGGGAAAATCTCAGCCCCACTGAACGGCATATCATTTTTAATTTTAAATTTCCAATATAACTCTCTTCACTTTCATTTCCTCGCTTTTAATAATTAGGGAAACTGGAGATCAAAGGGACTCGTTAGAAAATAATTATAATTGTATTTGAAGTGTTAAACTATAGTAGTGAGGTACGCGTCACTGCGGCAGACTGATGATGAAACTGACAGACAGGTGGAAATATAAACACAAAAGCAGTATAATGTGATCCTTTATTGACAATGTTTCACCCACACAGTGGGCTTTTTCAAGTCACACACAGATCTACCTGGGGTTGGAAGGTACGAGAGTATTTATAGTCAGAATGTTGAGGTCAGGTGAAGAATGCTGCATCTGATGATCTACCGGGTGGGGTTATAGAGTCTTGGGTAGATCATCAGATGCAGCATTCTTCACCTGACCTCAACATTCTGAACATGACTATAAATACTCTCGTACCTTCCAACCCCAGGTAGATCCGTGTGTGACTTGAAAAAGCCCACTGTGTGGGTGAAACGTTGTCAATAAAGGATCACATTATACTGCATTTGTGTTTATATTTCCATTGTGTCGGTATTTTATACCATTTATTACCATGACAGACAGGTACCAGACAGGCGGTGGCAATGAGAGAGATATCAGACAAATGAGGGTAATGTCAGACAGGTGCCAGGCAAGTTAGACAGATGACACACTACGCGAATGTGAGAAAGGTGTCATACAGGGAAAGTATGTGTCGCAAAGAAGAAATGTGTCAGTGAGAACGATGTTGAGCAGACAAGAGTGGTGTCAGACAGCTGGTAGATTTGTTAGTTAGGTGTGAAAAAGCTGTCAGATGACAATCTGTGACAAAGCTGTCAGACATGTGAGAGAGGTGTCTCTCAAATGAGAGAGGAGGCAGATGGAAGAGAACCATTTCGTAAAGATAGTAGGTGTCAAGCAGGTGAGAGATATGTCAGACAGGGTTGAGAGATAAGTCAGCGAGGTGAGAGAGAAGTCAAATAGACATGAGTGGAGCCAGACAGGTGAGGGAGAAATCACTAACGTGAGTGAGAAGGCGGATAAGTGACAGAGAAGTCTGTTACAAGTATAGCCATACCCGATATATTTTTTACTAGAATGTACACATTTTTATTATATATATATATATATATAATTATATATATATATATATATATATATATATATATATTATATATTATATATATATATATATATATATATATATAAGTTTTAATGATAATATTGTTATTTTATATTGTTAGGCGTTCAAAATATTGTTGTTGTCATATAGAAAGAAACCACTAATTAGTGCCGGTTAGCAGTTCAGGTACTGACGTCTCCCTCAGTGACGTGACCAACCTGACTTTCGCTTACCCCTTAGTGGTACAGTCAGTAGGTTCACCACCCTTGCTCTGAGTAGGTTCCCACACTAACTCAGAGTAGGTTCTCAGTACTCACTCTGAGTAGAGTCCAACTCAGGGCAGTAGGTTCACCTCCCTTGCTCTGAGCAGGTTCACAGCACTCTGAGTAGGTTCATACAATCTTCTGTGCAGATTTAGGTGCTCAGCCTTTAATACAATTCCTCGCTCTAGAAGATTACTTAGTCCCAGACAACGTGTACTTTCATGTATAACACTACAAGAGAGAGAACTTTGAACATCAAAATGGTATACAATACCGACAGGTTGTTAGGTAAGACACATATGCAACAGTTAGACAACTTTATTCCGAAACGTTTCGCCTACACAGTAGGCTTCTTCAGTCGAATACAGAAAGTAGGCAGGAACTAGTTCCTGACTATGGAACTGAACTTCTCCAGGCCGAGGGACTGACAACCTCAAATTCTACGACTTCAAGGGTGATGGACTGATTATATCGTCTTCACATCTCTACTGTTCCTGCCTACTTTCTGTATTCGACTGAAGAAGCCTACTGTGTAGGCGAAACGTTTCGGAGTAAAGTTGTCTAACTGTTGCATATGTGTCTTACCTAACAGAGAGAACTTTGTATCACATACTAAGTTTATATGGATTCTTTTATAATAAAGATCACATTTTATTTAAACGGATCAGTTTCCTAATAATAATCCCAATATTAAAATGACATGTGTCTAAGGACAACTAGACCAGTGCTGGATTCGACGTCTTGTTATGGAAAGGGGCCAAAACAGGCCTATAGACATGGCCCCTGAAGTAACAGTCACGGAGGTGAGACAGAAGTCACACATATGAGAGAGAAGTGAGAGAGGTGAAAGAGGGTGTCGAAACACATAGTAACTCACCGTTGGCTCTGGTGTAAGCTGCTACACGAGCTGGGAGAGAGGAACACAACTTGGAGAGGAGGGCGAGGCGTCCAAGGTGATCCAGCACTGGAACTCTGGAAGCACCATGGCAGGCTACCACCTCTACCACGTACACTGAGTAGTGGAGTAGTTGCTGTAGACTCAGGTGGGGCACCTGAGTCATGTGTACCTGACGCACCAGAACCCAACCTGTATCAGGAAGACAAGTAACACTGTGTTATATGTGGCACTACCCAGGCTGTGTTATATTGTGACACCACCCTGCCTGTGTTACATGGTGACACCACCCAGCCTGTGTGTTACATTGGGGTACCACCCAGCCTGGGTGTTAGATTGTGGCACCACCCAGCCTGTGTGTAATGTTGTGGCACTACCCAGCCTGTGTGTTACGTTGTGGCACCACCCAGCCTGTGTGTTACTTTGTGGCACCACTCAGCCTGTGTGTTACTTTGTGGCACCACCCAGCCTGTGTGTTACATTGTGGCACCACCCAGCCTGTATCAGGAAGACAAGTAACACTGTGTTACATTGTGGCACCACCTAGCCTGTGTTACATTGTGACACCACCCAGCCTGTGTTACATTGTGACACCACCCAGCCTGTGTGTTACGTTGTGGCACCACCCAGCCTGTGTGTTACATTGTGGCACAACCCAGCCTGTATCAGGAAGACAAGTAACATTGTGTTACATTGTGGCACCACCTAGCCTGTGTTACATTGTGACACCACCCAGCCTGTGTTACATTGTGACACCACCCAGCCTGTGTGTTACGTTGTGGCACCACCCAGCCTGTGTGTTACTTTGTGGCACCACCAAACCTGTGTGTTACATTGTGGCACCACCTAGCCTGTGTTACATTGTGACACCACCCAGCCTGTGTTACATTGTGACACCACCCAGCCTGTGTGTTACGTTGTGGCACCACCCAGCCTGTGTGTTACTTTGTGGCACCACCAAACCTGTGTGTTACATTGTGGCACCACCCAGCCTGTGTTACATGGTGAGACCATCCAGCCTTTGTTAAAAGGTGACACCATCCAGCCTGTGTCTTACATTGCGGCACCATCCAGCCTGTATGTTACATTGTGGCACCACCCAGCCTGTGTTACATGGTGACACCACCCAGCCTGTGTTACAAGGTGACACCATCCAGCCTGTCTTACTTCGTGGCACCACCCAGCCTGTATGTTACATTGTGGAACCACCCAGTCAGTGTGTTACTTTGTGGCACCACCCAGCCTGTATGTTACATTGTGGCACCACCCAGTCTGTGTGTTACTTTGTGGCACCACCCAGCCTGTGTCTAACTTTGTAACACCACCCAGCCTGTGTTACACTGTGGCACCACCAAGCCTGTGATACATTGCGGCACCACCCAGCCTGTGTTACATGGTGACACCACCCAGCCTGCCTGTTACGTTGTGGCACCACCCAGTGTGTGTGTTACTTAGTGGCACCACCCAGCTTGAGTGTTACATTGTGGCACCACCCAGCCTGTGTTACATTGTAGCACCACCAAGCCTGTGTGTTACTTTGTGGCACCACTCAGCCTGTGTGTTACTTTGTGGCACCACCCAGCCTGTGTGTTACATTGTGGCACCACCCAGCCTGTATCAGGAAGACAAGTAACACTGTGTTACATTGTGGCACCACCTAGCCTGTGTTACATTGTGACACCACCCAGCCTGTGTTACATTGTGACACCACCCAGCCTGTGTGTTACGTTGTGGCACCACCCAGCCTGTGTGTTACTTTGTGACACCAATAAACCTGTGTGTTACATTGTGGCACCACCCAGCCTGTGTTTAATGGTGACACCATCCAGCCTTTGTTACAAGGTGACACCATCCAGCCTGTGTCTTACATTGCGGCACCACCCAGCCTGTATGTTACATTGTGGCACCACCCAGCCTGTGTTACATGGTGACACCATCCAGACTGTGTTACAAGGTGACACCATCCAGCCTGAGCCTTACTTCGTGGCACCACCCAGCCTGTATGTTACATTGTGGCACCACCCAGCCTGTGTTACATGGTGACACCACCCAGCCTGTGTTACAAGGTGACACCATCCAGCCTGTGCCTTACTTCGTGGCACCACCCAGCCTGTATGTTACATTGTGGAACCACCCAGTCTTTGTGTTACTTTGTGGCACCACCCAGCCTGTATGTTACATTGTGGCACCACCCAGTCTGTGTGTTACTTTGTGGCACCACCCAGCCTGTGTCTAACTTTGTAACACCACCCAGCCTGTGTTACACTGTGGCACCACCAAGCCTGTGATACATTGCGGCACCACCCAGCCTGTGTTACATGGTGACACCACCCAGCCTGTCTGTTACGTTGTGGCACCACCCAGTGTGTGTGTTACTTTGTGGCACCACCCAGCTTGAGTGTTACATTGTGGCACCACCCAGCCTGTGTTACATTGTAGCACCACCAAGCCTGTGTGTTACTTTGTAGCACCACCCAGCCTGTGTTACATGGTGACACCACCCAGCCTGTGATACATTGCGGCACCACCCAGCCTGTGTTACATGGTGACACCACCCAGCCTGTCTGTTACGTTGTGGCACCACCCAGCCTGTGTGTTACTTTGTGGCACCACCAAGCCTGTGTGTTACTTTGTGGCACCACCCAGCCTGTGTGTTACTTTGTGGCACAGTATTGTATCGGAATCGTGAATATCGGCCATATTTATGATACTGGTATCGGTTGAAAGTGTCCGATACCTGCTGGTACTTTTAAACTATTAATAATATATATTATTGAAACAGTAAAATTTACCCTCAGTCTAATAACTAGTTGGTCAGTCAACTCTCGCACACACTAGTTGGTCAGTCATCTCTCGCACACACTAGTTGGTCAGTCATCTCTCGCACACACTAGTTGGTCAGTCATCTCTCGCACACACTAGTTGGTCAGTCATCTCTCGCACACACTAGTTGGTCAGTCCCTCTCTCGCACACACTAGTTGGGCAGTTTC